CCTTATAAGTACCATACATATGCTCGTGTAAATGCCATATATATGCCCATATAAGTATACTCCATGTGCCGTTTTAAGTACCATACATATGCATTTATAAGTATCATACATATGCCTTTATAAGTACCATAGATATGCCGTTATAAATATCAGACATATGTCTTTATAAGTACCATACATATCTTTAAATGTACCTTACATAAGTGCCATACATATGTCAATTTAAGTACCATATAAGTACCATACATATACCCATATAAGTACCATACGTATATGTTTAAAAGTACCGAACTTATATCTTTATTAGTACCATACATATGCTATTATATGTACCATACATACACCATATAATTACCATACATATGCTATTATAAGTACCATACATTTGCCATTATAAGTGCAATACATATGCCATTATAAGTACCATACAAATGGCCATAAATTTACCATTCAAAATAATCTCTAAGCAAAGGAATAATATAGAAATGACTTTTTTTTCATTACCCATTTTTTAATTAGCTGTTTATAATTATTATTACATGTTTTTCAACTCATTTTCCCTAATAATTTGTTGAGAAAACACGATGATATATCTGATATTTGAGATGGCTGTATCTCGGTAAATATGGGTGTTTGGGCCTTGATATTGAAAATTAGCAAAGAAAGCCTTTACAGAAAGAAATGTAAATTGCTGTGGTAAACACAATGGTACCATTTTCAAAACGATTCTATGGCTGGTTTTGATTTTGAGTTTTGAGAAAAATGACGATTTCGCCCGGGCTGCGATTCTTTGCTGGCAAACGGCTGTGTGGCAGAAAATGTAAGCTCCTCGACAAAGTGACGTACTGTCCCGTTTTCTGAGTTTGGTCCTCTGGTAGGTTAGGATAGGACACTTACAATTTACCGTTTTCTTGACGTTGGGAAACATTAGGAGGACCATATAAGTACCATACACATGCCCATATAAGTACCATACACATGCCAATATATGTACCTTTTACATGGCCTTATAAGTACCATACATATGCTCGTGTAAATGCCATATATATGCCCATATAAGTATACTCCATGTGCCGTTTTAAGTACCATACATATGCATTTATAAGTATCATACATATGCCTTTATAAGTACCATAGATATGCCGTTATAAATATCAGACATATGTCTTTATAAGTACCATACATATCTTTAAATGTACCTTACATAAGTGCCATACATATGTCAATTTAAGTTCCTTTGCTTAGAGATTATTTTGAATGGTACATTTATGGCCATTTATATGGTACTTATAATGGCATATGTATTGCACTTATAATGCCAAATGTATGGTACTTATAATAGCATATGTATGATAATTATATGGTTTATGTATGGTACATATAATAGCATATGTATGGTACATATAATAGCATATGTATGGTACTAATAAAGATAAAAGTTCGGTACTTTACACAAATACGTATGGTACTTATATGGGTATATATATTTTACTTAACACTTTCGTGCACCCCCCCTGCGCCACCCCTCGACAGGGCGATATGGGCCCCAGTGTGTCAGGTAAGCGTGCGTCAATTCCGAAAAGTGTATACTCTCTTCAACTTTGTCACCTCAATTTTCGTTCTACGAGATTAAATTTGGTATCATTGTGTTCGCAATAAAATTCTCAACATCACTAAATGCATATAAACTCCAAAAGCCCGGCTAATTACCCGCAGCAAGCAGAGAAAGTGCGAACGAGTTACCCGGGAGCGCGCAAACGCGATAAAATGTTTTCACTATTTTCACTCTGGTCACCTCAATTTTCGTCCTAGGTCTTTGATTTTGGTCTCAATGGTTTCGTAATAGAATTCTCTAGAGGAATATTAGCATATAAAATAAAAAAACCTGGTCACGCTCCAACCGCCGACGAGTTGAAGACGGGCCAAGTGTTAGCCATGAGTGAGAGCTCAGAGGCCTTCCTGCTACACTCCCAATTCCTGCCCACATGTTTAGTATTATTTCCTGGTGGTAATCTCAATTTTCGTGTTACAGCGCTCATTTAGGTATGAAAATGTTCCTAATAGAATTCTTCAGATGGATATGTGCATATAAGGGCCAATTGAAGAACAACATTGCCTGTACAATACGGGAAACGGGCAAATACCCATCAAGACCGTCAGTCCCATATATCTAGCAATTTCCTTCACTGTCACTGGTTGCCATCTGTGATTTGTACTTTGCCCAGTACCTGCCTTATTTTGGGAAGCATATAAATTTGTTTCATAGGCAATATATTTCAGCAATTTTTGTGTCGGAAAGAGTTGAATGAATCCAAGAACAGTGGTAGGTACAGGAACAGTCAAGCCTGGTGTACCTGTAAAATTGTCCACAAAGGGTGCAGTATTGCCACTACACCATCCATCATCAGAATCTGTTGGTGCTGGGGTACGTGTGGTACGTCTGGCTCTAGCACGAGCTCCAGTACCGCACCGGGGTCCGTCTAATTACCACAAGCTACCACAAACTACACAAACTTCAGAAAGCTTCCTGGCAATACGTTAGTAATGAATAAATGAGATATATTAAGTTAGGCTGACCTAACCTAACCAAACCTAACTTAACCAAACCTAACTTAACCAAACCTAACTTAACCAAACCTAACCTAACTTAACCTAACCTAACCAAACCTAACCTAACCGAAGCTTGGATCGTCGACTTGATTTGGCGTCACCAGCTTTTTATTTTCGTCTAATTTCTTTATAAAAAAAAAGATACTTTTTCAGATTAAAATTATGTTTTTTCGTGTTGTACATTCAGCACCATTATAATGAGTAAATATATCATATTTATTCATTACTAACGTATTGCCAGGAAGCTTTCTGAAGTTTGCGTAAGCTTGTGGTAATTAGACGGACCGCCGCACCGTGCACGAGTGGCAATCTCGACCTCAGACTCCTCACTGTCCTCACTATCAAAATCCTCATCGGCCGTCTCTGTTTCTAAATGTTCACTACTTGCATTAGTATCAATACCAACATCAGTTTCATCACTAGATGACCCAGACAAATCGTCAAATACAGCCTGAAACTTAAGATGTAGTTAGTAATCACATGCTTGTACTTCTCCTGTACACTACTCAGCTTCTGTTTTTCACGCCTTTCGCAATTTTCTTCCTGGAAGGGCCTTGTTCATGATCACTATCCATCGTGGAGTAAGCGTAGATAGTTTCTGAAGCCGCAGTAAGAAATAAGGCCACGGAAAATAGCCGAAATGTTGACACGTTTGAGACGCGAAGGGAGGCGACACCGGTCACAACAGTGGAGCGAAAACAATGGGCCACTAGGCGCAACAAAGAAAATGGGAAGACATCGGCGCGCATTTTAAAACCAGTCCCCAAAAAATCGGATAAAAACCTGATTTTTGGCGAATTTTTAAAGTGGATGACGCAATACTGCGTCATCCCCGGCATTACCGCCAGTAAACGGATGTCCCGAGCAAAAGTGTTAAATTGACATATGTATGGCACTTATGCAAAGTACGTATGTATGGTACTTATAAAGACATGTCTAATATTTATAACGGCATATCTATGGTACTTATAAAGGCATATGTATGATACTTATAAATGCATATGTATGGTACTTAAAATGGCACATGGATTATACTTATATGGGCATATATATGGCATTTACACGAGCATATGTATGGTACTTATAAGGCCATGTAAAAGGTACATATATTGGCATGTGTATGGTACTTATATGGGCATGTGTATGGTACATACACAAATACAGTACGAGAACAAAAGTGCACAAGGTGAACCTCATCAAAGGCATCCGTTTCACCAAGGATACTATCAAGGGAGAAGCGGGAAGCAGGACGCACACACAGTCGGGAAGTCAGGACATTCAACAAGGATACGCACAACTGTAAGAGGCACAATACAATTCGAACAATAAGGAGCAGGGCGGCGCTCCATTAAGTGCCCAGGAGTTAAATGGGTATAGCCAATACGTAACCTCGCCAGAGCCGTTTCCCACTGTCGGTTACGGTGGTAAAAGGCCATGGGGACATGCTACCCTTAGAGTAGAAGTCGAAATAAGGAACACCTTTGCGAGAAATGGGACAAGTGCGGATAGCTTCCTTCAAGGCAGCATCCGCACGCTCATTTAAGGAAACACCAATATGGCTGGGAACCAAGCAAATTCTAGTGCCTTAAATCAGTAGAGTTTTGGCTGTTTAAATGAGATAAACAGCCAATGCTGAATTTCGACCACAGGATGGACAGGATTACAGGACTCCAGAGCCATGAGAAAACTGCAAGTCAATTACAACAAGAAAGTAAGTAAGTAATTATCAAAAAGAAGGCACCAAACCAGGAAGGTTATGTAGCACCATCAAATGTGCAGGATAATCAGAGGGCGCTAAATACCACCAAGGACGCCAATACGAGAACAGAAATGCATAAGGTGAACGATATCAAAAGTATCCGAGTCACCAAGAATACTATCGAGAGACAAGCGACCGCGGGGGACGGTCGGAAAACAAGACACGCTCGTCCCGGAAGATTTTGTAGGTAGGCGAATCAAATTAGTGGGGTAATTGAGTGAGGTGGAGGGCATGCATTGTTGACTGTGGAGAGTGGGGTGGTTGTGGGAGCAAGTGTGTGGTGTACTCTCCTAGTTATATTTGGAGAGGATGAACTACAGCTACTGTATTGGGTCCCACCTCTCGACTCATTACCGAGTCGAGAGCCCATTGGAATAACGTCATATCTACATTTAATGCTGTGTATAGTCTGCCTCCCCCACTTAGAATAACGAACAATTGGAATGTGCTAACATTTACAAAAAATGTGCAATTCATTTGGGTACTAAATTTCCACCTGTGTCCCCTTATTCGTGTACTATCCTGCTAAATAGTTATTTCCCTGGACGATGAGTGGAGGTGAGTGTGGTTGGTAAAAGTCGAGTGAATTCCTAACAAAATTTCAAAGTTAAAAGGGATAATAATATTACAGTAATTTAAGTATTTTATCCAAATACATATTATAAAAGGTTCTTTAAACAATCTGCACCATTACTAAAAAACACTTTTTGGTAACAAAGGTTTAGGCAGGTACTTTTAAATGTTTCATGTAAAGTCCTTCACCATGAGACCCCACTGTCATTCTGTTCTAATCAACTCAAATTACACACATTTATTAAAACATTTAAAAGATACTAGCCTAAGTCTTAGCCATTCTAATTGAATTTGCAAGAAATGCTTACCTATTTACTATATGAAGTTTGGAAAAACCTTTCTCTATAGTACTTATGTTGTATAATAATAGTCCACACAATTCTGTCATACAAGCATTGCTGGGAGCACTGTTGCCAAACTTAGCACACTTAGTGTTTATTGCGCACACAATTCACAAAATAAGTACATATACGGTACAATTATTCTGTCATATCAAAATACTGTACAGTATCTCTTAACAATTAACTTGTGACACATTTACCATAATGCTATTGTATATTTTAATTATTGTTCCTCAGCCCAAAAGGAAAAACAAATCCTATGTAAGACTTGCTCTAAATAGCAAAATTTTAAAGAAAATTTGGCATATTTATATACTCTGAAAAGCAAAACTCTTATATTAGTTATGTTATGCATTAATTAGAAGTATATCTCTGCATTCACATACTGTACACATATACTCTTCTAAAGCAGGTAATAATATCAACCATATGGAATGTGATCATCACAACTCTACAACCAAATGGTTCCTATTTTAAAAGCTTCACAAATTAAGATGTGTGACCTGGAAAAACTGACAAGTCTTCAATGACCTATCAAGCTCATTTTTACATGTTACTCTGTTTACAGTTCATTGAAGATACTTAATAATGGTTACTTTCAAATACATGCTAAGGTGGATGCAATAAACAACCCCAATTATGAATATTATGTTCCTTGTGCAGGGATTTACTTTAGTTGATTACCAAGTTTTGCTGTTTTGTAGTCCGAGCGTAATTGGATGAAGCTTGCCAGCACAGTGCGGTCGAGACCACTCTGAAATTTTAAGCATTGGTTGTAACTAGACACTAACATTGGTTGTAAATATGTACTCGCGGTAAAACAAAATGTAGGCCACAGAAGCAACTCTTTCTATCTCTGCTGATATATTTTATATCAAGAATGGATTCTACTGTTGTGGTATGACTTAACATCATTTACAAGGCCTAAAACAGATTACCTTGTGCAGCAAATTAAAACATTCAGAAATTATTTTACACACATTTTCTTAAGCAATATTCAACTACTCACCAGCTGGTCTCCTGAACACACCATCTTAAGATTTTCTGGAGTGACTTGCAGTAGCTTGCAAAGTGTGTGAAGTGTGTCAAAGAGTGAATTAACATGAGGTACCTTAAAACTGGCAACACACTTTCTGTATTCATTCACATCACAGATAACAGCCATTGCTCCTGAAAATATGGAAAAGAGTGAATATCAAACCTGCTCTTCTTACATCATTCTTATTCAGGAAGCTGAACTTGTATCCAATCACATTTGACCACTAACTTATGAAATTCCCTTCTTTAACAGCATGGTTGTAGAAAACTCTTTACCAGAAATTTCGTTTACCTTCAAGCACTTAAGCATAATATTACAAAGTTCCTGAACAATAGTAAACATTAAGATGTACTGTAAAATATATCAGATAGAACTCAACTACATTATTTGATGAACATAGTGCTCAGCTTACCTGTTGCACTGTATTCAAATTTCATTAAGTGATCAAGAACAGCTCGGTGTAGTCTAAGACCCAGCTCCAGGAGAACGCTTTCTAAGTTGTGACCATCCAAAGAATCCCGAATACGCTCGGCTATTCCACTCACATATCGTACAACTTTTTGACAAGCCTGGAATACAGTGTACATGAAGTAATCATATGGAAAAATTAAAATGCAGCATAGAAAAGTGTTGAGTGTAGTGCAACTCTCTTTTCTGAGTAAGTCATTCAGATGCTCCCCAAGGAAGAACTTATTTGGTCAAACCAAGAGTTGTCACCCACCATGACAAGGAACTTTTCAAATAGTCTTGTTACATAATTGGGGAAGGGGTGACGATGGTGGAAAGTCTAATTACCACAATCAATCAATTAGCTTGCAAAAATATGAGGGATCATACTTTCAACAACTGACAATTAGAAATTGAAAAAGTCAAACTACTGTATCACTCGGCTAACTGGTTACAAATCAAAGATTATCCTGAACTTTAACAGGTGGCAGCACCCTTCACCACAACAAAATAGGAGGATCTGGCAATTCCCATTTTAAGGCCAGGCCACTTAAGCAAGTTCGGCAAAGATAAGACAAGGCAGGAACAAGAGCATCCAAGAGACTAGTTAAGACAGGAGAACCCAGTGCTGTACTGCAATATGCTCAACATCTAATGGCCCCTTGTATGCACCTTGAACACTTTCCATAGTATGCAAAGTTACAAAAATTTGAAAGCAAACAACATAGGAAATTTTACGTAACCAGTAGAATGAAGCTCCAGGAACCCAATGCACACAACCTGGTACCTGACAAAAACAAAATTGTGGCAACCAACTGTTTTTGAAAAAGAGTGAACATCCCCTGGAGAAACCAGGCAATACCACATAGGGCTATGAGGTATCCAGCCATGGAGACTGGCACAACTAATGGCCCCAGGGATACCCAAGGAGAAGAGGCACCATCTCGTGAAACCAAGGATCCAGAAGAGACAAGTTAGAAAACCCTGTTTTTGAAACCTGGTGGAAGTCCAGAGTAGAAACCTGGTGGGCCAACTAATGTTTAGCAAGAGCACTACAGTACTATACTTGGAAGTCCATATGATGCCAAAGCTTGGGAGGGCATTTGTGTGTGTATAAACAAACCTTCAAGATGCTATTCTAGGCTGAACTTTTAAATACAGTATAACCTAATCTAGATGATGCACCCACTCTAAACATAAAGAACTTACATTCAGTTTTGAAAGTACATTAGCTACAATGAAACATTTTTATTGCACAAAATTTTTGTATCATTCAGAAGTGAAAGTCATAGAAACAAACATACCACAGTGACATTGGTTATGAGCATATCATCATTTTCAGGCTTGAAATCAGTCCGTTTCTGTTCAATAGTGAGAACGTTACGGACATAGCTGACAATTGCAGACAGGGTACGGTCCAACCCTAAGTCCAACTTCTGCTCCAGATTTGTTCCCAACTGCTTCTTCTTCTGCAAACAATCTCCATGTTTTGGTGTAGATCTGCATTAATGCAGATAAAATAAACTTTTACAATCAATTCTGATTGAAATTACCTACTTAAAATTATCTGCTAGATTAAGGACCTGCCCGAAACGCTGTGCGTACTAGTGGCTTTACAAGAATGTAAATACTGTACTATCCAATGTATTCTCACAAACCCAATGTACCTTCTTGTATATATATAAATAAATAAATAAATAAATTAAAAAAAAACACTTTTATACTTAAGAAGATACTTGGATTAACTACAGTACAGACCCTGTACTGATAAAATTATGACATTTCCCATCTAAACACAGTATTAGTAACTCCTAATTATTCTGAAAACCACATTTTATTATTTTCAAAAATTTCTCAAATACTGTACTGTCATGCTCAGCATACTAAATGGTCTTGTAAAAAAAATAAAAATATTTAAAATGTGAAATCTATATTTTAGCTATAGTAAATTCAGTAATGATAGAAATTCATCTGTTGAAAAATATGCAGGTGGGAAATATGTAAAACTTTATTTGTTTTGAGTAATATAATTACACACATAAGCAATCAAGTACAGTATAGGTATACCTAACTATATTTATATGACAAATCTAATAAGAGATACTGATTTACAATTAATTTACAAGTCATGTCATACATTTGTAATTTCCACAACAAATTTTTTTGCCTCTTTCATGATCAGGATGTCACTTTGCTCAATAATGATGACGATGATACAAATGCAATACTGATACTACAATTGCTACGATGATACTACAATACAAATGCTCGCAATGATATATTTATTTACAAGTAACTGCATGGATATAATGACTGAATCTGCATATTCCTCTCTCACTAAAACAATCAACTACAATAAAAGTGTCAGATTTATAAATTAAGTATAAACAAGGATATTTTGTAACTCACATAACTAGTGGAACGAGGGTGTCACTGAATAACTTGTCCAGGAGGTTCATCATGGAGCTGCTCTGGTGGAGAACCTCAAAGAAACTGATCTCGGGCTGTGTACGCACCTCGCCTCCAGGGATCACTTGAAGACCCAGCTCTAATGGGAAGAAAAGTATTCATTGTAAATACACCAAAAAAAAAAAAACAATCTTCTAAAATTCCATAAAACAATTTGGACTCTCCAAAAAAATTTATTGCCTTTAATTATAAAAGGGAAAAAATATACAAGAGAACTATAAACTTAATTCTTAACCTTCTTGTCTTCAGCATTCAACTGTTCTAGCAAGAATATTTGCTTTAACAATTTGTATTGCTGTGTATGTATTTTATCCTACCCTTAAATTCATGCTCACTAGTGTAGCCACTTTCCCCATCGCTTCTTCAGTCACTTGCAAACACCACATCCTGAATGATATCTAGCAATTCTTGAATATTCTGTGCTACAGACAGTGCTATACAGTATAGCTCTGCTGACTTAGACTACACGGTCTTCCCAGCATGGCGCTTTCTTTTGATAATTACTTCATGCTCAGTTCTCACACTTTTACTTTCACTCCTCTTCAGGCAAGTTATTTCTAGAACTTGGTTTAAGGGGTCATTCATTCACTTCAAATTTGATCAACATTACCTCTGGAAATTGAAAATCAATTTGTAACATAAATCTATCCCAAGTACTTACCAATTGCATAGTCAACATGCTCAATTAATAAGGCCTTTGTAAGAAGATCAAATATTTGCACTGCATTGTTGTGAACATCCGACTGTGTGGACAACTGAAAAGTACAAATGCAAATATGATGAAGTTATCATCATACTGCCCTCTAAAGTTATCAGAACCTACATTATACAGTAATACTCAACAAAATTTACTGTACTTTACTTACTAAACTAAACTTTTACACACAAAACAGGCAACAAGAATCTCAACAAAGATGCTTATGCATGACAAATTCAGGATGTACAAACTCAAAAATCTACAGGCTAATTTACTAATTGCAAGCTATAATTAAATATATTGTACTTAACATACGTAAAACGATGTATAGTACACTGTACAAACAGGGAGCCGGTCGGCCGAGCGGACAGCACACTGGACTTGTGATCCTGTGGTCCCGGGTTCGATCCCGGGCGCCGGCGAGAAACAATGGGCAGAGTTTCTTTCACCCTATGCCCCTGCTACCTAGCAGTAAAATAGGTACCTGGGTGTTAGTCAGCTGTCACGGGCTGCTTCCTGGGGGTGGAGGCCTGGTCGAGGACCGGGCCGCGGGGACACTAAAGCCCCGAAATTATCTCAAGATAACCTCAAGAAGATAACTGTACCATCATACAATTGCACAGCACGTTCAAATTCATTAGCTATTATATTTAAGGTTTCAGAGCAGTATCTTCTCTTTCAAGTTACAAAAAAGTCTGAATTGTTGTATCACCTAGAAAGAGTTTACTGTAAATGCATTTTAATTTATTTTCATAACTGAGTGCACTATACATATTTATTTTATATATACCTACTCTTTCATTCTAAATGATTATTATATTTTTTCATTGACTTAACTTGCAAATTAACTCGTTATTTAGATATAAACACAAATTCTCAAAATAGAATTTTATGTTTTCCTATAGTGTACTGTATTGTACTTTTGATTTACAGTCTGTGAACGAAGCTTAAAATCTATACAAAGTTATATTAATGTAATCCTTAACCCTTCAATTGCGCATCGCATCATATGATGCATTGACTGACTTGCAGTAAATTGCGCATCGCATCATGTGATGCTTTGGAGTACTACACAAGATTTAAAACGGCCCGCGAATACATGGGGTTCACCACACCTTCATCAGGGCTCTTGTAAACAGATGCCATTTTTTAAAAAAATCGTGGGCCAAACTCCTGGGTGCTAGGGGTCTCAGTATTGAGTCAGCTACCAAGCCTGACGCACGCAGCATGAACTCACAGCACTGCTGTTCAGCTTGTGACCACAGCATCGCCTAAAAATGCCATAATATACTTGTTCATGCTATTATGTAGCGATGATATTATTACAGAAGACCCCTGACTGTGATAAAACTGACCAGGGGTCTGATAATAGCAGGATTGTGGTGATATTTGGCGCTGTGCGCCATGGAGGGAGGAGTAATGCTGTGTGAGGGAGGATGGTGGCGTTGTCTTCTGTGTGTGTGTGGCCACCTTTTATTGACTGCACTCACCATACCAGCTTAGTGGTTCGCTATGGTGAACACAAATATAGATACTTATATATAACGTGTGTATAGTGTGAGATAACAGCGAGAGTAGGAGGTTGGGAGCCGCCATTTTGGTGAGGGAGGAGCGCCGTCTGCAGGACTTACCATGTTTACTGATGACCACGATGGTCTTTGAGCACCATACCAGTTTACTTGTACAAGTATGGTGAATAAAACAGGTAGATATTTATATATAATGTGTGTATATAGCGTAATAACACCACAAACAGTATTGTTGTAGGAGAAATATTAGTGCGTCTGGCCTTGAGGGCGGCAGCCATCAGCTGACTGTGTGAGTAGCTACGCCTTTGTGCCTTTACTCACCATGCAAGCTTAGATGTACAGTTGTGGTGAACAAAACATGTAAATACTTATATATAATGTCTGTATATAAAAGCAAAAACAGTATGGTGGGTGGAGAATGGTGGCAAGTCAGGTGAAGTGAGGTGAGGGAGAGAGGGAGTGGCAGCCAGTGGCAGCCAGTCACTGCCTGCCACTGCCACTGCCACTCAGCATACCAACTTAGTGGTTCGTTATGGTGAACATGAATGTAGATACTTATATATAGTGTCTGTATATAGTGAATAAAAAGCAAAAACAGTATGGTGGGAGGAGAATGTGGGCGAGCGAGGTGTTGAGGGAGGACGTGAGTGGCTGGCTGGTACACGGCGGTCACTCCTCGTTACTTTTTGACTCATAATACCAACTTAGTGGTTCGTTATGGTGAACAAAACGTGCAGATACTTATATATAACCTGTGTATATAGTGTAATAACCAACAAAGTATTTGTTCACTGTTTGATGAACATAATTGAATCGACAATATGCACACCATATTTTTGAGTACAGCGATGATTCACTCATTTTATTATATAAATATATCACACTACACACTATTGAATAATATTACAGCAAAAAAACTACAAAAAATCAGAGACATTGAAATAATTAGGTACTTATCTCTTTGTGGAAACTCTGGCCTGACAGCTGGCGATCAACAGACCGCCTGGAACGCATGCTGAGTCAGCGCCTATAATTTGCCAGACTTCCCTGCCCTATAGCGGGCAATATATGCCACTTACGATTTTTTTATTATTTTTCCTGTGATCAGTGAACACAAATTAACAGGTTAGGAAGAAAAAATTATTTTTTTTTTTCAAAATGACATGCGCCTGTGGGGATGACAGGATATTAAACCCCGAGCATGTTAAGCGTTAAGGGTTAATTAGATACACTCACAGACTGAATAAGAACATTAGTATGCTCTCATTGTTCCCCATTGTCATTGTCTGGGGATAAGGAACCCTGTTAGGAATACTGAGTTCCTCCTAAGCCAATTATTGACCTTCCCAAGAATGCAACTAACTTAATTAACTCTCGGGTACCTACAGTATTTACTGCTGAAGTGAGCAAGGGCATCAGGTGTAAGAATGGACGTCCAAACATTACATCCTGCCCATTTGGTTGCAAGCCAGCTTCACTAACCAATGCACTTAACGTTTAAAAAATACGTATTACACGTCTTTTTTTTTACATCATGTATTTATACTCTTGCAAGAATATAAAAAACATAAAAGTACAAGCAAGTACATAAAAAAATGTGTTGGTATTATTTACTGTTCTTAGGTAATGTACATACAGGTACAGTATTACATAGACTAAACAAAAATCAACTTTTGTATATCACTTAGTAGTATCTTAAGGAAATAATGCAACTGCCCTAATTTACATTTTATTGTAGATTCTATTTCAATCAGGTTAAAATCTAACAAATTATAAATGATAAATATGCCTTACAAATAAGCACTTGTAATGCATATTTTATAAATACTGTAACCTATATATACTGTACATACTGTATACTGAAATGATATTAAAGTTACTCAGAATTTCTCTAATTTTGCTAGAGATGCTGCCTACTAAGGGTTCCACTCTTGTACTTTATACAGCATGGTACAGCATATACTACACCTAAACTGGGACATGTAAACACAAAATCAGAAGATAAAAAATTTGTTGCACAAAAATGAATCGTCAAGAGCAACCTACAGTACAATTTATATATACATGTAATACAGTACAGTAGCAAAAAAGGATACGCATTCTCACTGCCAGCTACTCACCATCTGACACCTCTTAAAGGCCTGCTTTGTCTCCTGAAGCAGAGATATAGCAACTTCCTCGGACAAAAATGTCTCTCCACCATAATTTTCTACAGCAGGTCCAATGTTGATGTTAGCTTTGGTTCCAATCACATCCTGAATATTTCGCCGAATATCATTAATACTAAAAAGAAAATAGTAGTAGTTAAGACATTAGAAAGTTTGTGTTGCTCTTAATATATAACTGGAAACATTTAAGGGGGGGGGGGGGCAAATTATGTTTCCTTCTTACATATCTAATGAATCTTACTAAATCTAATGCTAATCTTAGATTTTTTTACCCATTTTTGCCTCGATTTATTCACAGGCAGTTGATCAGACTAACTCTGCATCTTATCAGCTACAAATGTCTAAGTATCAACAAAAAACTGAAACAACCATCAATATCCTGCTCGGAGACTCAAGGAGTCCTACAAGGACACAATCCAATAAAATATACAAGCACTTTATAAATACTTTCCAGTACAGTATTTACTTTGTCCAACACCTGATACACTGGAAAATGGAGCTTCGTGGCCTTCTTCAACCAGCTAGTGACCGATACAATTTTTAAATGTATTGACCATTACCAGCGATACAAGAGAACATTTACTTCTTGCAAGGCCTAAGGAGCCATTATGCCTTGGTTTTTATATTATCACTTGAGCTTTCCATGAAGGTATAGTAAAGCAAGTACAGTGGAACATCGAATAACGAATTTAATCTGTTCCGGCGCCGTGCTCGTCATGTAAAACGCTCGTCTTTCAAAACGAATTTTCCCATTTAAACTATTGGAAATAAAAATAATCCGTTCCACCACCAAAAAACATCAATACGATATTCGATTTTTTAAATAATGGAGCAGCCTTCCCGACATAACTGAACAAACCTTTATGACATTTTTCCTCTTTTCAATTTTTTTTTTAAGAAACATGGAGTAGTCTACCTGACAAACGCTGAACAAACCTTTTTGACATGTGTTCTTTTTCAAATTTTTTTAATATTTTTTTGTTTATTCTACAAAAATATTCAATGCTTTGCAACATCACAGCAGTCACCCCTTTACATCCCAGCATCATTAGCATCTTTAAACAAAAAAAGTACTGTAATTTATTTGCATCGTTGGAGGCGTCCGAGAATGTGTGAGAAGCAGCAGGAACGCACCATGTGGTTTTCTCGTTAATCAAACGAGCGCTCGCCAATCGAGACAAATTGTCGAAGATCGGCGCGCTCATTACTCAAAATGCTCGTAATTTGAGGTGCTCGTCACGAGGTTCTACTGTACTGTAATTATAAAAAAAAGGGGCACCATATGGTATAGTAAAAGGTATTAACTTTGCAGTAAAAACTGCATAATAGTCCTGTGAAATGCTAAATTTATTTAATTACCTGGTTCAAATGACTGGCAGTGCCCCCAAAAATCATGCTCATTTAACATTGGCCAGTGTGTATGGATTAGTTTGTGATAGACTTACCACAATAATCAGTAAAATTTAGTCAAATATGTTATATATGTACTGCATATTTCATTTTTGTATACTGCACTATATATGTTTATAAATGTACAGTACAGTATAAAACAAGCATTTGTATTTAAGCCTTACTAAAACAATAGCTTCAGGACATGTATAATGGGTGCCCCTTTAATTTCAGTTACCATACTGTAGGGTTTCATTCACTAAACATTAATAGTTTTACAGAGAGTCTCGATAGTACAGTTGTGTTCCTTCTCTACTCACAATCGGGAATTCCGAGTTCAAATCCCGGGCAGGACAGAAATAGCTTGGCATGTCTCCTTTCACCTTATGCGCCTGTTCACCTAACAGTATACAGGTACCCAAGAGTTAGTCAACTGTTGTAAGACTGCATCCTAGGGAGGGGGTCAGTAGTTCAATTTGGGGTGAACTTCAATACAACCCAAATGTGTGCATATAAACAAGCAGCCTGTCCCTTACAAAATGAAAATTAATTATTTTCACGAACTTCTAATTGCATTGGGAAGTAACTAATCATATGTAACTTTAATTATGGTCACTGTCCAGCAGTGTATTCATCCAGCCACAATGTACAAAAATCCTCTTGATTTGCCACAATGTAAAAAAATAAATAAATGTTTATTTAGGTAAGGTACATACATACAAGAGATTTTTACAAAGATTGGTGGACTTATAGATAGAGCTAGTACATACAATGCCTAAAGCCACTATTACGCAAAGCGTTTCGGGCATAAAATCATGTATAAATGTATAAATATCCATTATGTATAAAATCCAAGGTTCTAACTTAACCATAAATGCACAAACCCAAGGTACACTGCATAGAAAATGTGAATATTTGTTAGCCATTACTTTTTCACAGTACAGTACTGTACTGTATTTTGTAGTATGTATGTTGAGGACTACAACATATAAGTAAGACATACCAGTTGAGAGGACAAATTGATTAATCACTAACATTGCAGTTTTACTAGCTCTATTACCTAATTTATCATCACCATCCACCAAAGTTTCAATTAAGGCAATGTATCGGTTCAAAAGGAATAGCATTTGTATTACTAAATGAATATCACATGCCAAGATCTACTATCCAATACATGCACGGGTACGTGTACACACCTGTGTGTGTATGCATGTCAAATTAACCTTACCCTCCGGATTGTATATTTTTCTTTTGATGTCCTTTGGCTTCATAGTAGCGACTTAAAATTGAATTGAACTTCTCCCGTAAGTACCTTGTCTCCACACTGAAAAAGAAAGAACAACATTAATAAAATCTTTGGAGCAAGGTAGGACAGGGCAGAGCAGGGCATGTCTCTCCTAGTACAGTATGCTCAGCAAAATATATTCCCCAATTACTTTGACAATCATTATTACATAGCCTCTTGTACCACTACCTGTGGTAGTATTAATACTTTTGTCCAGTAATCTAGCAGCTTTCCTATTCTCTATGCATGTACAGTCAAATATTTTCCAAAACCAATCTATTACTGTGTTAAGACAATTTTCTACACCTCTGCTGGTATCCCATCCACCCCAAAAGCTTTACCTTAATTCTGGCACATTCTGTCTCTTCTGAAATTATTTTCTGACAAATTTCCTTTTTTTTTAACCATTCCTACACACATCATCACTGTTTCTTTCATAATTTTAGGATAATAAACTCTTGAAAATACAGTACTATTTACATTACTTCAGCATGTCATTACCCTTAGGTAAAACAATATGTATAATGCACCCCAGTTTTGCATCGTGGTTCTTACACCTTTCACTTGAATACAGGGTAAAATTGACCCAATCATGGGCATAGTATGATCAATTCTTGTAATGTGCTTCATCAGTTTTTATTAGTTTGTACTGTACAATGATGATGACGATTCACAAAATGAGACCTATATCTTCGGTCATTCCAAGGCATTTGCTCAAAGAATACTCCCACTGAAAAAGACCCACAACCATTCTTAATTAAATATATTTCCTGCACAATTTGTTTAGTGATAGCTCCATTCATCACAAGCACTTACTTTATCCAGAATTTACATGGCCAATCATTTCCCTCGTCATACTAATGTATAACTATCTCCAAAATGTTGTTCTACAATATGATCACCCTTCGATAAGTATACAATTCTTTCTTGATGCATCATTAGAGATTGTATATGTCATGGGTAGTCTGTCGTTACATCGAATGACTACAAAAAATCCAACGTTAGTACCGCACTAATCTTTATTTTATATTTCATGAATATTGAGATTTAAGTAGCCTAGTTCAATGCTACGTAATATCCCTTAAATTACAGCTCGTATGTGAGGAGTCAATGAGCCGTTAACTACATTCGTGTTATTCACCTCCAAGGGCTTCACTAAATACCACAAGTCCTTGTAATTAATTGTCTCTCTGACCAACTTTCTCATCCAATGCATCTTCAAGCTGAACAATAAAGCTTTAAATTTAGTCAGTTCAGTCTAATGTATCCTCAATATCATCAGTTAACATTATCTTATCTCTATAGATCCAAGAATACAAGACTTGAATAATTCTGAATAAGAATACAAGAATTTTAAATAAGAATACAAGACAGAATAATTCAGCTCTATTACTCAATTTTACAAACCAGCCATGCTGGGGTAATGCAGCTTCTCATGACCATATGCATTTGTAAAGACTGTTACCCCCCTTATGTAGAGTCTACATAAATCTACTGCACACTTCAAATTAAACATTTTACCATTTATCATTGTCTAATAAAACCTCCCAGTTTTATTTATTGCTTCCTACTCTAAATTTGTTTCCCCAACTACCACCTATATAAAAGTTTTTAATCTTGGATATCCTGTTGCAGAATGTCTCGGCCCACCTGATATATGAATGCAGATGACGTTGAAAGATAGACTTGGTAAGCTTGGCCAGAAACTGTGAATCATTACCCAAGTTGAAACGCTGCAGATCCGTGCACAGCTTAAGAGTCTGGCAGTATAATTCATGCAGATTCTTCAAGTACATTTCTGGAACACTCTTATTGTCAAGCTTCACCTGGATGTATTCCTAAAAGGCAAACACTGTAATTATTGAAAATCTATATTCTTAATAATTACTATAAATATTAATAACACAAATAACAAGCCATGCAAGATAAAGATCATACTGTAGGTTCTTTTTCTACAGTAGTAATTACATTATTTCAAATGCCAAATAATTAACACTTTGGCGTACCCCGCGCGCCACCCCTCAACTGTGCGATATGGGACCCAGGGTGTCACGGGAGCGCGCATAAATTCTGAAAAGTGTATACTCTCTTCAACTTTGTCACCTTAATTCTCGTCCTACGAGATTAAATTTTGTATCATTGTGTACACAGTAGAATTCTCTACAGCACTAAATGCATATAAATTCCAAAAGCCCGGCTAATTACCCGCAGCAAACAGAGAAAGTGCGAACGAGTTACCCAGGAGCGCGCAAACGCAATAAAATGTTTTCACTATTTTCACCTCAATTTTCGTCCTAGGTCTTTCATTTTGGTTTCAATGGGTTCGCAATAGAATTCTCTAGAGGAACATTAGCATATAAAATAAACCTGGTCACGCTTCAACCGCCGACGAGTTGAAGACGGGCCACGCGTTAGCCGCAAGTGAGCGCTCAGACGCCTTCCAGCTACACTCCAAATTCCCGCCCTTTTCAAGCCTCTGTTTCGCAATTTTCTTCCTGGAAGGGCCTTGTTCATGATCCCTATCCATCGTGGAGTAAGCATAGATAGTTTCTAAAGCCACAGTAAGAAATATAGCCATGGAAAATAGCCGAAATGTTCACACGTTTGAGATGCGAGGGGAGGCGACATTGGTCACAACAGTGGAGCGAAAACAATGGGCCCACTGCGTGTGCCAAGCCACCTGAGGGCCACGAGGCTCAACAAAGAAAATGGGAAGACATCGGTGCACATTTTAAAATCAGTCCCCAAAAACTCGGATAAAAACCTGATTTTTGGCGATTATTTAAAGTGGATGATGCAATGCTGCGTCATCCCCGGCATTACCGACAGTAAACGAATGACGCAATGCTGCGTCATGCCCGGGCGAAAGTGTTAAGATGTCCTGTTAAGGGGTAATACATCAAATATTGTAAATAAGATCAACATCATAATTTCCAATGTGTTTTCTTAAAAAGTGTGAAGGCTCTAGCCACCATCTTGACAGTCAGTTGATGAAAAATTGTGAAAATTTTCAGCATTCCCCGAGCTGTACCGGGAAGCAGTGATCCCATATCCTTTAATCTAACCGGTAAGCTCTAATTCTCCTCCTTGCAGCTTACTCCCATTCTTATTTATTATGTTGGTAGGTAGCCAGATATCTTGTACAAATAATTTTGCAGTGGTGAAGCACAAATCATCAAACCGATTTTAAAAGAGATCAGACAAGTGAGGCAGGATGAGCAGTTCCATGTCACAATACTCAGTCCCAATCAAGAACAGTTAAACCAAAGAGCAGGGTGGCTCAAGAAGAGCAAATCCATAGAGGAACCCAAACACCTTAGAGATGACAACTCTACTAGAGAATGGGAAACAAAAGCCAGCATGAGGGAAGGAAACACAAACGAAACCCCAGATCGAATAGGCAAGGGCTGGGCATTCAAGGCGGTTGGTATAAACACTCTTGAAACACTATGATAAAACAAAGCATGGTCCAAGCACGGGATTAATGTCCCAAAGAACACTAACATCAGTTAGCCAAGTAGCAGAGTCAAATAATAAATGGTCCCAGTTGGAATGATGTGAAAGATACACTATCCGGCACTTTAGTGAAGACGGTGGCTTGCAGAGACCCTGGTTGACCTGGACTGCTCCCCCGGTTGTGGCTAGGTGGAGAGAGCAAGGGTTGTTTATCCTTTGTCAACTATTGTTTGCATACATGACTTTCTTGGCCATTCTGCTTAGTTGTGGATTGATCTGTGTTATCCACATGCTTTGCTCACCTCTAGGATGGTTATCTTGAGGTTATCTTGAGATGATTTCGGGGCTTTTTAGTGTCCCCGCGGCCCGGTCCTCGACCAGGCCTCCACCCCCAGGAAGCAGCCCGTGACAGCTGACTAACACCCAGGTACCTATTTTACTGCTAGGTAACAGGGGCATAGGGTGAAAGAAACTCTGCCCATTGTTTCTCTCCGGCGCCCGGGATCGAACTCGGGACCACAGGATCACAAGTCCAGCGTGCTATCCGCTCGGCCAACCGGCTCTTATGGAGCCAGATTGTGGTCCAAGTTCCCAGCTGCCTACAATAGTCAGGAGCCTAGTATGAAGGTGTGGTCTTGCAAAGCTAGTGCCATAGGAGCCCCTCTGGAAGGGCTCCTATGAGGGGGCCAGCAATGAAAAATACAGTAAAATTATACCAGATGCTGGTGTGGAAGATTACAGTTGAATTAGCATTGTTACTACTACTACAAAAAACAAAAACAAAAAATTAAATATAAAAATAAAAGGTCAAGTGATGAGAAGGACAGAAAAATAAAATATAACGGGGCTTGACCATTCCAAACTACATATCATTAACATGCTATCGTGAAAACTAAATACTTGTGAAATACATATATAAATGTAAAATTTAACTTACTTGTAATTGTCCTTGGAATATGTTAAGAACAAATTTCCCCATGACTTGCTCTGGATTTGTGAACACTTCCCGTATAAGGACTTCTGATCGGTGACAGAGAGGAACCACCTCAATGTAGAGGTCTCGAGACCGTAGCGCACCCTGTGCAATCAATTAAAAATTTAGTCAAATGTTTGAAAGATTAGGATTATTTTTTTATTTATTAAATTATCTCACAAAATTGACTATTTCAAATATGAGATACAATTCAGGATATTATAAAATTTGCGGTACAAACCGTGAAGAGACAGTACTGTACTGTATCGACATAATCTCATCCATGACAAATACAATTTTTGCTTCAGATACTGCAGCAAAAATACATCTTACAAAACTTACAACTATACAACTTGTCTTATATGGCACCAACATTTCATATCTAGATTCGTCCATGCGATACTGTACTGTACATGTAATGCCTCTACATACTACCAATTGATTTTTTCAGTGAAAATCTATGAATTTCTTTCAATATGGCATCAAATAACATTTAATAATGTTTGACAGTACTTCAAGATGTACTATAAATATGAGGAAACATTCTACTTGTGAATGTTCAACTGCAGGATATAAAAAAAAAATAATTTAATCCTGAAGCAAACTTACATGTTGTGCTTCTTCTATGAAGGCATCAATACACTGTGAATAACCCTTGAAATGTGACAACGTGGATGCAATTTCTTTCATCCGGTCCTTATCTCCTACTCGGTGAGCCTTAACAAACTCCATGATAAGTGAACGTTCAATCTCATCATACTTCTCTGCAATCTTTTGCTTGGCATTCTCAAACCTGAAAAAAACATTGCCTCGAGTGAAAAATCAACAAAGATGTAAAACAAACCAATTAATAGTAATAAACAATAATATAAAAATAATAATAAAACAAAAAATGTTTAATCAATTCATGTTGTATAATAAAGATCCTTCCAAGCAGCACCCAGCAGCTCACATTCCTTCCTCCTGTTTATGTCTCCCCCATTGCTCAACAGTTTTGACTTGGGAGATAATGTGAGGCATGTCAAGATACCCTGTTGCAGTGTTGATTCTGGTGGAAGCTACACAACCTAAACCTAAGGAAACCTTGATGAGCTCAACAGGCTTCCCGTCCCCAAGTATGGGGAACCATATGGTGAACCATTTCACACAATTTCTTGATCTCTCCATTAAAATAAATTTACTTTCAAGTTATACTGTACCTTTGCTTTCTACCAGCTTCTCTCATATACATCAACATGTATCAAATCTCCTACATGTCTATTTTCATTTTGTAGTAGAATCATTGCAGTGAAATTGGCTATTGTTTATTACATTTAAACTTGAGATATATTGTAAGCCAATTACAGTATATGTATTTCAAAGACCCAAATTATAACATGCATAATAAATAATGTGAAACTATTCTGCTTCAAGCAAGACAAGTTATTGTCTGTATTATAAGCAGACAATAATAAACAAAAAACATGCAAGAAAGACCTACTTGCCAGATGGTAATTCCTGAGCTATGAGATGTAATTTTTGAATAACATCAGCCGCCTCATAAATCTGAAAATATCACACCATAAAATTATCCCTTTACTTTGCACTGCAATTCATCTTTAACATATTGATTATCAGTGAATAGCAAACACTACTTACATAGTAATGCATTACAGTATTATTATTATTACTACAAAATGTGTTACAACAGCCAAGTTTTATTATAGGGCATTTCTAAAACTATCAAACAAGCAATTGCCTTACCTTTGTTTTGTCAGTAAAAACTTCCGACACAAGGGGACCTGGTAGGAGAAATTCTCTGAAATGGTTCATGAGACGCTGTGCCTCAACTGCCCGAGATCTCGGTGTATTGACACTTTCCAGCTGGTCACCCAGATGAACAACTTTCGTTGCTACACTATTAATGTGGCTGTCTAGATCCTGGAAGCTCTGGAAGGCCTCCTGAAATGTGTAACTTGTGTAAATAACTTGCAAGCTTTGTTATTAAGACAATCTCCCTTTACAAAATATCAGGCAAAATTTTACAAAAATTTACAAAATTTTGTATTTATTTTCAATAAAAACGAAAATGCCTTTCTAAGCTTAATTAATTACTCCCAAAGGAATGCTCACCAATTGGACAGGTTCACAATGGTCTGGATAGAATTATATTTAACACCAGTACAGCAGAGATCTTTTCAAATATACCTGCCAAGTCATGCTAGTGCTAGAGAGGCACTCAAGAAAAACTCATTCCAGTTTGTAGTGACCACAGAATGCATTCGAGGTATGCAACTCATACTCCCTAGGCAAGAATAATCAAAAGCAGCCAGCAGGCAAAGAAGAGTGGCTGCATAACGGAGTCCCAAAATTGCAAAGCAGGAAGGAGACAGAGATCCTGAAGATCTATTGTAGCACACTACAGTCCCCAAGTGAATCAGACAAGTCTAGCTAGAGAAGAGTAGTCCAAGTGCATGCACTATCACACACCCGGGGAATTAAAACCAGGAATCTGGCAACGAGGGTGTGAATAACCAGTTTGAAATTCCTAAACCAGCATCTCAAAATAGGACATCAATGAGATACAAACACCAGGAGCACGTATCTGGAGAATAACTTGGTCCAACTCAATTTTACTGCTTTGTGAAGCTTATAGGCTGGATCAACCAGTAATTAGCAAGCATTACTTGGTAGTTTGTGATGTCAAGTAATACTTAAAAGGCTTAGAGTATGCACATGTCCCCTCAATTTGTGAGGGTGGAGGACGTTCTTATTAAAATTTCCCAAATCAAATCAAACATACAGTATATGGATAAAAATATTGTTAGGTCCAACACTTTTAAAAGTGTCCTTTTTTCCATTATTTGTTCAATAAAGTACCTATTATAATAACATTTAGTACTGCCTCCAATTTCTAGTCATAGGTTTAGCACATAATGAAGTATAGAATGCGTGGATTATCCACGCTAATGTACATTCAACATTGTTAATCAATGCTAACCTGTATGTCTCCAAAATTTACACACACTATTTGAAACTAGGTATAAAAGTACTTGCCTTAATATTCTATCTCCAAATTTACATTACAATACAATGTATCTCTACCTTAAGACAGCCAAATGAAGGAGAAGTTTCATGTTTGGACAAGAAGCTGGGGTTAGGAGAGAGAATTATTTCATAATAAAAAATTATGAAACCAATACTGTATCCTGAAGCAGAACACACAGCTCATTTGCTTCACTGCTTGTAACAGGGAAAGAAGGAACATCTTGAGAGAAGTCCTTGAACAAATGAGCTACCCAAAATCTATTGAAATGCAAGAAGTCCAACACCTTAGCAGAAAACCAGATGGTGAATGGGAAGAACATATACATACAGTAATAAGGGCCTATATACTGTATCCCCTCCAGTGGGTCTGTGTGAGCAAAATCCAGTCACTTAGAATTTCTAGTAAACAAAAGGTTGGGAAGATGAACACCTACAAACCAATACATCAACTAGAAAGTAGAGTTCAAGCAGAGCCAATGATATTTAAAATTCTGTAGTCAGGTTTTCCTCATAGGTATCTACGAGGGAAGAATTTAATCTTGCACAGTAAAATGCATTCACATTCTTGACTTTGAAATATTTGAGTATTAATGGTGTTACAGAATAGAGCATTTCCTTCAGTATTGCTCAAATTGTGTATATAAATATTTTTAAAGCACTAGAATAAAATTTGATGGAGTGTTGTCAAAGTCATTCTGTATATATAATATTAACTTTAAGGCTATAGCTCAATTTCACAGACTTACACACATTTGCATTTCTTTGTATTGGTGAATTGCCTTACGCAAGATTGCACCAAGATGAGAGCTGAACTGCATTATACCCTAATTTTGACCCTATATACAACCAGAGCACATTAAAACCAACCCCTTACAGTCTGGAGGTGTATATTCATCAGTATCTTACCCTGTTGTTGTCTAGGAGTTGTGCCACGTTGTGCCAATGGCGCACTTCCTCTTCTCTTACTGCTGCCTCCACACGCTCACACTTTTTAGCTGTTCTCTCATCCAGCAACTGCAGGTCCCTGATGTTTAAAGAAAATAAACATTATTAATATTATTCATTCACCTGGGCTCTAGGAAACTCAAACCACGGACCCCACGCACGTGAGGCAGAAGATCTATCCACTCGGCTGTGAGGAGTCTTAATAAGGAAAGATGCAACTACTGCTGCCATCTACTGTGGGCGTGGTTCACCAATTCCTCCGAGCTTCAGTAGTAGTCAGGGAAACTTGAAAA